ACAGTATATTAGTTGTTATAATTTTTGTTGGCAAGGACGGTACCCATTTTCATGCTCATTAAGTATTTTTTTATCATTGACATCCACTTGCTCATTTGTCTATAAAACAGACATTGGTTGCCGTATATGTTACATATTTCAGTGATTATGTCTTTGCGATTCTTAACGAGTTTTACAGCAGCTTGAATGAAGCGTTTTATTTCACGATAGTTTACTGATTCTTTACCATTCATTTTACATGCAGTTTCTCGAATAGGATTTGTTTTCCAGCTTCTCACAATAAAACTATGTGATGAAAAGTTGTCAAATAAATTTTTATAAATTCATTAAAGATTCAAATGCGAAAAAGTCAAGCTTAGTGTCATATAATATCTGTATTATATGTCATACACTTCAGGACATTGTTTATTGAACAGCCCTCGTATTGCAGGGTAAATGTGAAATACATTTAAGTTACTTTGACTGTTTTATATACTGATTGTAGCATTTCACCATCGCCGAATAAAGGTAGAAAAAAATCCTTTTAATTTTTTTTTATATCAATCTTATTTCATTTCAAAAAACAGTGAAAAGACACGATAAAGAAGTAAACCGTGATATTTTTGATCTGGACGTTACATTAAAGTGCTATGAAACAATTGACTTTGTTACATCTTAAAATAGACGAATTCAAAAGGTGATATAGAAACAATATAGTTCTTTAATATAATAGATAGAAACTGTATTTCACCGTAAATTTTGAAAAAAAAAGTGAACATATGTATTAATCAAATCTTGATATCATGATAGGAAATAGAAAAAATATATCAAAAAAATACTAGCGCATTAATAAACATATATTTTCATACGTGGTATATCTTCACGACCAGAATGCAAATCAGAGAAAAGACTGGCAAATCCATGTCTCTACGGATGGATAACGTTTCCTTTCATCTGTTAATTAAAAGAAAATCAACATACATCTCTTTATTAAATTAAATTGCTTCTTAAAGGACTCCGACCCCCAGTCAGCCAGGAAGGACAACTCATCAATTCATAATTTAAATCAAAGAGTCTTTAAATTTAGCTTGAAAATTAAATATTTTCATGCAACAATTTTCATTATATGCCTTTCAATGTGCTTCAAGGTTCTTTGCAAAGCTCCAAAAATCACTTCTAATTTCATATCATGTTAATAAACATTGGTATCTAAATATGCTTTTTCGGGATAAATATTTCTTCTTTTAATTAGACCTTTCTGAGAAGTTCAAAGAACTTCGAAGCACATTGAGAGACATATAATGAAAATTGTTGAATGAAAAGATTTAATTTTTAAGCTTCATTTAAAGACTTTTTGAATCAAATTATGAATTAAAGAGTTGTCCTTCCTGGCTGAGGGTCGGAGCCCCCTAAATGAAATAGAAACATATTTTTCGTTTTTTTTAAATTCGTCAGACAACTATTAATATAAAAAAGGTACTGATAAGTGATAAATTCGTTTAATTTATTTTCCGCTTTTTTATACTTAAAATAATCACAATATGAAACTTAAAGTGTGTCTTACAGTTTTAATATCATTATTTATGTTTTCATCAGTTACAAAATTCTTGAACTACTTTTATCAATTCGAAACTAAAGTTGATCAATGTACATGTCTTTCATTCTTTTTTTAAACGCATTGCTTTGAAAGGGTCCATCCAAATTGATTATATATTTACATGTCAGTAAATGCTAATTTTTGAGAGATCAACTTAATTTGTACATAGCTGTCACTTCCACCTAAAAAGGATTTATAATTTATCCTGATATTTCGAATTCTATACAATTCCGTCAGTGTCATAATGATGAGTCACACTTATGTGAATGTTTGTACTATCACTCCCTTTCCAGATTTACAAACAAAAGGTGCAGTAAAAACAAAACCAAGTCGTATGTTATGTAAGAACAATATGTATTTTTTTTAAACAGGTTAATCTCACTTCTTAACCTTTAGGGGAAAAAAATAAAATAAAATAATACTTATTTAAGAGTTATGTAATTGATAACCGTGCTTAAACTTTGCAACTACATTTATTTGACCAGAGATTCACATTGTTCGTTAAAGCAGAATCAATGAATTTCTAACGTCGCATTACTTCATACAATGTAGAACTTTTCTAGTGTGTTATTAGCAATAAATGCTTTATTTTTTATATTTCCTTTTCATTTCGATTGTCAAAGCAAAGCATGCACAAATACGTGACCCAATTGATTTTTGAATTTAAAATTGTGCTTAAACACAAGACTGATGTTTCGTTAGATTAAACTTAATTTTGAAAAAATTGCAAAATAATAATAAAAATGAAAGACAAAAGTGCATCTTAATTGAAAATGCAGAACGACAAACACATATATAAGATATATAAATACAGAGACACATTGTGTACAATATTAAAATGAGTTATATATAAGAATAAGCAAAATACGGAGATCAGGGGCTGTAAGATCTACATGTACCGTACTCTAAGCTAAAATCTACTTACATAACGACTTTTAATATAATCAGAGAGGTAACTGTACACCGTGTTCTAGACACTTATAACAGAAAACATGTCTCCTCGGTTTGACGCTTTAATTCTAAACTACACAACTAAATGATAAAACAAATCGGCGTGGCTGAAACTGTCAACATCAATTACTGAATTTGTATTTAACATATAACATTCTGCTGGTATAGCAAATTCCTAAACGTGGGAAAACATTAAATCTGAATGACTACAGTAACAGCTTACTACATTTACATCTTTTTGATTAAGAATAAACTATCTTCCCGATGCTGATAAAATGAGGGTTGATATTGCTTAAATGAAATTTAAAAATAAAAAATCCAGAAGTAAATTAAAAATGCTGTGCGATTTATCGCATGTTTCGGAAATATCCTAGATATCGAGGAAAAGTAAAAATTAAAGTAAAAGACACATCATTTGATTTAAGAATGTTATATTTTCAAATTGAGTTTACATGTCCAAACAAAAATAATGAAAAGGAAACATAAATATCGGGAGAGAAAGGTCATTCCGTAAATTAAGTTTCATAGCTAGTATTTTACAATTGTTCATTTCCAGTGAGTAGCTTTGTGGTGTTCGGGTATAAGCTGATCAATTGGAAGACTAATTTTCTGGTTCAATCAACAATTTTTCTTTTAAAAAGTACATTTTCGAAAAGAGGACAAATTAGGTTAACGAATAATAGGACACATCAACATAAGGTTGATTCATGCACTGGAAATGTTCTTTCAGCAAATGTTACGAGGATAAGCTCGAGTTCAAAGTCAGGAATGTTAAGAGTAAAATCAGAAAAGACTTCCATTCTTAAAAAAAATTGTCCTTATATTACCTATAGCTACTAGGTTGAAGCGAGGATTAAATGGCAGTTTATTTACATTTTGCATGGCAACAGCAAGGGAAATAATTGTTCATTCGCTCCAATGTGATGAATCAATAAAAATGCTACACCTTACATTAGAATATAATTTTAATAAGACCTTTTTTTTAATCTGTATGATTCTAAATTATGAAACAAAAGCTTGACATTTAGATATACGGCTGAAATGAAAAAAAATCCACTAAATTATTGATTTTTGTTTCAGAAATTATAATGTTTCATATCAAAAATAAAATTTAATTGCTCTTCATGACGCCATATTTAATACAAACAAAACTCAACACACATGTTATAAATAAAAGAGACAATCATGCAGAAAAGACTTGATTAAATATCTCTCTCTCTCTCTCTCTCTCTCTCTCTCTCTCTCTTTCTCTCTCTCTCTCTCTCACTTCTTTCGTGCATGTCATTAATATAGCAAAAATCGCAATGCACGATTTAACACGCTTTGTTCCTATACCTACTTTCGTTTTGTAAAATTCGTTATTTACATTTTTATGTGTGTAATTTCATTAAAAAAATATTTTACGTCGTGTATTATCTTACTAAAGCATTATATAAAACAAAGAGTTAAAAGCATTAGCAAATATTCATCGTTATGCAATATATTCCGATTTGTTAACAAATATGGCTTACCAATAACTCGAACTATTTAAAGAACATAAGATTTTTCACATTGACCACTCATTGGATAGATTTTTTAGGGGAGCTAATGTCCTTATCAATCCACAGCGTAAAAAAAGCATCAAGGGAAGTAAGGTTAATTTCTCACTAGAACTTAATTTAATGATTTCTACATAGTAATAAGATATGAGACCTGCCGAGTTTTGTGGTCCGTTTTACATGTAGGACTATTTAAACGATGAATAAATTATTTGAAATGTATTGGACACGGCATCAACCAGGTATAAAAAATAGTGATAATGACTTGATCAGTATACATCTATGTATTCCCAGTTTCTTTTTATTCATATACGAACATTTTTTTTTGTTCTATACTTAGAATTTTTACTAAGTAAATAGTAAAAAAAAATTAATTAGTACCCATGGCCATAAAACGTCCGGTATATTTCTGAAAAATGTTAATCATTTGCAGCTTTCTGCATGCTTAAACTAGAGCATAGCTTCTGAAAAATAACCTTTGCTATGGAATCGCTATCTTATCTGATTGGAAATATATTTAAACAATAAGGGTACAGTTATTATAACCAGTTTAAGTACCCAAAGGATTAACAACATGGATCGATGTCACTTTTTGCCCTGTCCTAAAAAGTGAACGTATTTTCACTTTTAATCATAGCAATTTATATCTATAATAAATAAAATGTGGCATAAATAAGCCTGCATTTTGATGTAATAAATTATATTCTTTTAACGATATGTCTTCACACAGCCATAAATATCGATTTGCTTCGATTTGAACATATTGAAATTATGTAAGAATTACATAAACGAATTGGGCAGCAGGCATAGCCCATAGAAGCCCTCAAAAGTCATAAATTACAAGTTCATTTCTTATTTAAATTGACTTGCTCAAAAAATGAAAGTCAGCTTTTTTTTTCATTTTTTTTAAGTGTGAAAAAAATTAAATACTTGAAGAATGAAGTGCAATTATTTTAATGAAGTCTTTTACATTCAAGGACAAACACACAAAGCCCGTGTATATTGATGATGGTTCTTACATTTGATGATGCATAAGTATTTTGACGTAACAAGAAGAGAGATGAAAAGTATTCAAATTTGTTACTTTGTAGCAATGAGATATTGATTTCTATCCTCAGAGGCCAACATTTGATCACGTGAAAGACTGCATTCAGGGTCAAAATCTTTTCTTAGAAGCTGGTTGGATTCATCATCAATCTTTGGTTCAACATAACCATGTCCATGAGAAAGTAGATGACTTTTGCAAAACTGTTGAGAATTTCCACATTTGATTTCAAATCCTTGAGCGTTTTGATCAATATCAGAGTTTGGACAGATCTCATTTAATTGTATTGCATAAGCATTTTGAATGGCATTGTGTCCTATTTTTGCATTAACCAATCCTTCAAAAATTATGTTTTCCGTTTTCATATTCACCTCCATCATTTCACAATCGCTATATTCTCCTGGCCCAACCGATGATGTTTTATCTGGTTGGTGTCTGGGTCTTTTCATTGTTTTAAAAATCTTATAAACGAAACATATGATGATAAATGTGACACAAGTACTACAGCTGGCAAAAATTATAAATACTAATTTCCATGTAAATGTATCATTTTCCTTTATAATACGTTTGAAATCGTTAATTGTTAGTGGCCCATAAGTCTTTCCAACATTTGTAGGAAGAGAAGATGATGTTTTTCCCGATTCTCTTGACACACCTAATGCTCCCTCCGATTTTGAAACTTGTCTGTTTGTATCCTTTTCTGTGAATTCAAAAATTCAGATATGATAAACATCTACCTTTAAGCTTTTTAGGGTGTAAAATAATTATAAAATAAATTATTTCTATGAATTTTTTATACACAATGTTCACTTTGTATTATTTACAAGCTTGTTGTCCTGACTATCATTTCCAGAATTTTTAGTTGAATTTTAATTTTGTTTTTCATATCAACTTCAAGAAATTAACCAGAAATCAATTTTGAAAGTGATATTCTCGAATCTTATATATCAGGGAGGAAAGGCATGCAAATTAAAAGATTTTCTTTTCTTCTCTGAACTTTTGAAAAGAAAAATATTTTGTCGCGTAAAGAAACATCTCTTCTGACGTTCTGTTCGGAGCAACCATCAGCACCAATATGTCTGTTACCTTGAAAACCGGGGGTTATACAGAAAAGATAGTGTTAAAAACAAACAGGTATTATTAAACTTACATCATTTAAAGTGATTCAAAATCTAAACCTGTGGCAAATATTTCTTTAAAGTCTCACTGAATCCTTTGATATTAATTTCAAATTTTTTATGATATAAATTAGTTTTTATACATGAATTTTTATAGAGAAGAAAAAATAAGAAGAAAAACATACCATTCTCTTTTGGACAGCCAAAGGCAATATCACAAAACTCTTCATTGCATGAACACTTAAACTTACAAGTCCTTCCATATGTTGGGTACTGACATACGCTCGTGCAATTCAAGCCGTAATAACCTGGACTGCATTCTATAAATAATCAAAAATTTAAAATCTTTGACAAATATAAAATAAAAAACCGATATGATAAACTGTTCATTGATTTCCATATTAATATTTAAGGAAAAGTTATTTTATGATAAAATATGTAAACGATAAATACACACCAATACACTTTTGTTTTAAATTGTCCCATACAGTTCCAGAGCAACAAACCAATCCATTTTTCCTGAAAATGAAAATAGTTGCTATTTAGACACGAAGAACAATATAATAATTTCTTAAGCACAATTTATTTTTCCAGATCTTACCCAGAACAGCGTGAATTGACGAAAATTCCTTTTAAAAATAGAACAAGAGAAATAATGAAAAATTTCATTATAATTATTAAAAAAATGAAATCGAAATCTTAGGGAGAGTTTGTTATCCCTCATGGAATTATGTTTTTAATATACGCTATACAGGCCATCTATTTATACTGAATAGTGTAAGGAAGTAAACCAAGTGTTTCGCAAGTTGTGATGTCTCATAACGATATCATTTCCTAGCACTTGTTGTTTGAATTACATTTATTTTAATGAGAGAGTGGTTGTTATGAAATGAGATCTCATTTGAATTGTAAACAGAGGAAACCATGGACTTCTAGAAAGATCGGGAACGGATCCCGTGCTTAGTAGAAAATGTAGGGGTAAACTTCCACTCTTACTGGTCAAACCTTCCGTGATTCCTCAATATTGGAAAAATCGTAACTTAGTCTAAAAGCAATTGGCCTCAAAAATTGAAAACCAAGTCCTGTTTTTAATCAATTTAAATTGTTGAAAGTTTTATTACATCAATATTTTACCTGTAGTCACTATCGGTAAAATTCTTTGATCGAACTCACAACAATGATTTTTGTTTTTTAAAAAATCTTATATATGTTATTGGATGAAGCAATAGTTGAAAACATTGCTAAAATAAATGAGTATTTACAATTATCTAATTGAACATTTTTTTTTGTGGAGTAAATTTACCATAAAGTGATATCAGTAGAAATTTCAAGTCAATATTTACGGTATAGATGTAATATTATGCAATGTGCTTTGTACATTGCAAATATGCAAGCATGAGGTTAGTATGCAAAAAGTGTGCCCGTAAATCTAATTTTTATGACATCACAAAAAGTTTATTTTGTAAAAAGCAGTTAGATATAATGTAAAATGGCTGAATTTCAATTTACCGTAAGTAATGCTATACATAGCTTCATGAAGCATATTTTTATGTGATTTGAGAGTAAAAGTTAAAAAAAAAATCAGATTGCTTATATATAAGAATTCACATGTCATTAATATTACTCTTTACAATTTTATAGCAGAATACTTCTCATGTTTTTTTTTTTTACTTCACTGGTATAATTATTCTATTTGAAGCAAAAAAAGGTTGTATTTTTTTACACTGCGATGTACCTCTTTTGTAAGGATTATTTTTGGAAGTTTTGAATTCATTGACAAGTATATACAGAAGTGTATTGATGCCACTTGAAAAAAAAATATTCTAAGTCGAACGTACGAGATAGTAAGTCGTACATGTACGTGCGACATACTAAGTCGTACGATCGACATATTATCTGGTACATACGACATAATACGCTTCCGTAAGTGTATGCAAAGTATTTGAAGTTAATTTCTTTTGACTGAAATTTTTAACCTATATATATGCCAAATTTAAAAAAAAACATGGAAATATTTCTTACTAACAAATAACAAAACAAGACTTTGAAGAAAGACAAAGAATATGTACACAACTTTGCAATGTTGGATATGTAGATATTGATCGACATTTTACATATTGTGACACTGACTGAATCATGCATCAAGTTTATTTTTCCTGTCTGAATTTGAAACGCAAAACATTAAAGGCCATAACATACGGTAACACTCGCCTAAACCTATAGGGAAACACTTGCAGGAATCAAATCGTAGGTTTGCTTGCTTTTATCATACAATGGGAAACTAGTTTTCGTAAACTTCCTTTCCTGGCCTTTATTTCTTATATTGCGTATTTATCCTAAACTATTTAACTTATATAAACAAAGAACAGAGTATTTCATTAAGCATGGACAAAGCAGCATCTCAAAATTAAAAAAAACAATCTGCCTAAGTCATGTAGAACAAAATGAATGAATGTCAGAATGTTTACACTTATTAGACTCATTTACACTCGGACAGAAAAAAAGGTAATGTTCAGGGTTTCGCCGCCTGACTCTACAATATCTGGCCATAGCTCATCAAAACATTAAAGATATATTTTTAGACAAACTTATAATTTATTCTATAGACATAAAAGATGATGTTAACTAAATATATTAAAGTTCAATAAAAGATGACTTTAAATAACTAAATGTATAAAATCGCATTGCTGTATACGTATCCAAAGCGGTTTTAATTTAAGACGCCATTCCACGAACTTTTTGATAACCCTTCGTATTAATCCATTAGCAACTGTAAATCATTGGTCCTTTGTATTTTATTTTATTTACATTGACTGAATGTAAAAATAATACGAAACTTCCAATTGGTTAAACAAAATGTATGGAACGCATAATTTGATAAAGATTATTTAAAGGCACAGACCTCAGTGTTTTTACAGATTATCAAATACATGTACCTACAGGGAATTTTACTGTGTTTTCCTTATTGATCCTAAAGGTAATTATCTTTTTTTATGTTTTAATAAAGATTCCGTCATCAAGGATCTCGAGGCCGTCCTTGCCTTGCAGTATCAACATCAAGTATAGAAATGAAATTGTATAGTATTAATAGCAACTCAGAGTTCTAGAGGAAAAGACACGTTCCTATGTTTTAACATTTATTATTCCTTTCAATATCAAATTTGCAGAAAGATTGCCTACAATGGGGAGGAGGAGAAGAAGGTGGCATCATGAAGACTGTAAAGAGAGATTGAAAGATGAGGATTCGGGATACGATGATAAAAAACGAATCTTTAAGTCCGAATACATCTCAAACAATTTTGATTTCCAGCTGGGGTGTTTAGGGTGTTGTGTAGGATTTCTGAAAGAAAGAAAGTATTCACGTTTAACACTTCGAAACCAATTTGATGGAGTATGTTACATTAAAAGCACTCCAGATACAGAAAAGCTCTCTTGCAGTTATTTTACAAAAGCTACGGCAAAAATACCTTCCCGGGGCATTCACGGACAAACTCAAGTAAAGTCTATTCCAGAAGACGAGTTGTATGAACAATGGAAAAGAACAGTACAAAATCACAAAACATACCAAATATACGACGGTGGTGTTGATGCTCTGGGAAAGAGGCACGAATGCATAGTTCGTTTGGAGAGTGTCGGAATACTCGAAGCAAGTTCAGAAAATGTCCTTAACATTCGCTTAAGTATCATTGATGCAACAATGATTGAGCTTCACAGAAAGGAAAAGGGACGTAAACCATTAAGTCGAAAAAGTATTAAAGGATATTTTCTTTTAGACTAAAAGAAGTTAAATTCTTAATTTTGAAAAATGTCAACTTGTAAAAAAAAAAATTTGAAGTAACATCATATGAATTAAAAGATTTGTAGCGCAAGTTCATCATGAAGTAGGAAGCACAGTTATATAATAGAACGTAATGTTCTGTCCGATGAAATGTGTGTGTTACAATAAAACAAAATAATCTCTCTGTATTTTCATGCGCAATCCTTACAAAGTGCGTCAATTTAAGGAAAATCATGATTCTGACGAAACTCAAATATAAAGTAGAAACATGGATCTTGACATGACTGAACTCAATTTGAAGTTGTAATAATAAACTAATGACATAAAATAATGTATACAATGTAATAAATTATTCTCTCATGGATTTTTGTACCTATGATTTGAAGAAGACTTCGATATGAACGCATTTCCAATGAACCCCCTTTTTTATTACCATTTAATACTTAGAGGGAAAAGGCATTCAAGATATTTCAAGAAATATTTATTGTGAATTGTTTAATTTTCATTATCTAAATTCTTTGTAAATTCTTTAACATTATTACAATTTTTAACAATCTGGTGTATCTTTTCTGTTTAAGTTATTGAATTGCGTTTCAAGAAGAAACGATAGTACCAAAAACTGGACTAAGACTTATTTAAAATTTAAATTGATTTTTTTTAAAATATCGATAAATCAAACGCCCCATTCTGCATTATCAGCACAAGCAAGGTTTGTCCATTTTTTCTCACCCTAAATTTGTTTACAGTGCTTTATTTACATAGTGGGAATAATTCACAAGACTGCATTGTATTCTGAATGCTAGCTAGAAGTACCCTTGCTGATAAATCATCGAGATCAACAAGTTCAAAGTTTGTAGAGGATGTGCTAAGTTTCCTAATTTTGTGTTACGGACATATGATACAAGCAAAAGGTGGATGCCTCGATTGGTATGTTTTGGTTGTAAATGATGTAATTCATATTAAAGAGAAATTGTTTTATACAACTTTTATGATGTTCAAAATTATACCTTTGTACTACCTTCCTTATTAATCTAGTAGTTTTTTTCCATTTAAGGACTTATGTCCCTCTGCTCTAAGGTGCACGATTTTTTTCAACGTGCTTACATTGATTTTCTATAAGCTATAGCGTCGGCTTCAAATGGAAAATAGAATGAGGTATGAAATATAACACGCCAAATTTAAAAAAATGAGCTAAACATAGTTTCACTGTTAAAAAACTAAATTTATCGACCGTGAACTATAGTAAACAATTCGTTATCTTTGGTTTAATCTGTAAAATATATTAAACGGTGTAAACTATAGTTTACGAATGCTAATCTAAGTTTATCAGTCTGCAATAAAACGTTAACAATATATTTTGTTGATAAACATAGATTCACGTCTGTAAACTATAATTTACAATCATAAACTATAGTTAAGAATTTTTAATCGTAGTTTCATAAATCGTGAAACTATATTTTTTTGATCGTTAACTATAATAATTAAGAGATGTAAACCATAGTTTACAAATCGTGAAACTGTATTTATCAGAAAATCTATGTTTTGCTATCGTAAATGATTGTTTTTAGTGTTAAGCATAGTTTACTGTTCTGAAACATGGATTATCGCGTTAATTTTAGTTTACAGATGTAAGGTATAGATTACCGTTGTTTACAGTCCGTTAAAAAGAGTTTACAACCAATAAACCAAGTTTATCGACTGTGAAACTATGTTTAACTCATTCTTTTGTAAATTTGGCTTGCAACAGAGGTATGCCAGTGGGAAGTCATAAATTTTGGCATATATGCTCGGGACTCAAGGTAATTGAGCAAAAAGGGGATCTTTTCCGTGCCTGTGTAAAGACGAATAATGACCCCCATCGAATAATGACCGGGGGTCACTTTTCGACAGCGAAAAATGACCCCCGGTCATTATTCGACGTAGAAAAATG